TAGATATGATAGAGCCCAATAGGCTCAGGAACCTGTACACCTGTTGATTGACAGTTAAGAGGTGGGACCAAAGAGCCAGAACTCAACCCCCGCAAGCACAATTAGGTGAGTACAGTGCTCTTCGCTACCTTTCATAAGAAATAAATCAAAAGATATCAGGTTATTGGATACAATATAATTAAAAATGTTTTAAAGACATTATTTATAATTTAATTCATTGTGTCGGGGGAACAAGCAACCAGGGTTTGTTTATACAAGTTAGGCTTATATCGAGGTCCTGATCCACCCCTATCTTGAGGTTATCTTGAGATGATTTCGGGGCTTTTTTTAGTGTCCCCGCGGCCCGGTCCTCGACCAGGCCTCCATCCCCAGGAAGTAGCCCGTGACAGCTGACTATCCAACCTGTCCTCTTAAAAATAACGTCGCTTTTGGCCGTTAGCCCGTATGGCCGAATTTGGACGTAATTTGAAAATGAAAAAAAATTGAAAATAAATTTGGGATTTTTTTAGTCACACCCAGGTACCTATTTACTGCTAGGTAACAGGGTAACAATAATTCGACCCTACGGTCAAATTATTGACCCCGTCTAGAATGCAACCTCACAACAAGCTGACCCACTCCTGGATATACCTACTTGCTGCTAGATAAACAGGGGGCGGATTCACGAAGCAGTTACGCAAGCACTTACGAACGTGTACATCTTTCCTCAATCTTTGACGGCTTTGGTTACATTTATTAAACAGTTTACAAGCATGAAAACTTGCCAATCAACTGTTGTTATTGTTATAAACAGCCTCCTGGTGCTTCGGAGCTCGTTAACTGTTTAATAATTGTAAACAAAGCCGCCAAAGATTGATAAAAGGTGTACAGGTTCGTAAGTGCTTGTGTAACTGCTTTGTGAATCTGGCCGCAAGTGTATTACGCGATAGGAAATACTCAGAAGTAATTATCAAAGAAGGCACCAAGCCGGGAAGAGAAAATACGCCAAACTATTTTGGTTCCCCCCAGAATTCGAAACCCAGATCGAGAGAGTATTACAAACCCGATTGTACTACAGGGACCCTTAATTTTTTTCATGGATAATTATATTCCCTTAACTTTTCCCATATCAAGACTAATTCGGAATTAATCACCACACAAGAAATTGAGAGCAATACAGCTGACTGCCCCTAGAAATTTCAACATATAATTTAGGAAACCATTTCACCATCCTCTATTGCCGAACTTATAATGATGTACACAGCCTATGTGCGCTCCATCATAGATTATGCCACACCAGTTCGACAAATGTTAATCTTCTTGTTTGATAATGTCTTTGGAACTCACTTCCCAATGAATTAATAAACTGTTCAACCCATGCCCTGTTCAAAAAGTAAAACCAAAAAGTACCTAATTTCATCCTCATAATTTCCTATCTTGTGCTTCAAACTCACACTATCTTCTACTACCCACTTCCCCAATATTAGTACTTAAGACATATCCTTACCAGTGTAATCACTGCCGTCAACTTATGTTGTAGGCATTTGTTGATATAAAAAACCTTGCTACAATGTACCCTTTCATCTTTATTTATTTATTTATTTATTTATACACAAGAAGGTACATTGGGTTTGTGAGAATACATAGCATAGTATTTACAATCTTGTAAAGCCACTAGTACGCGCAGCGTTTCGGACAGGTCAGTTACCTAGATCTTACCTGATATGTTAGATCAAGGACCTGCCCGAAACACTATGCATGTTAGTGGCTTTGCATAAATGTAAAAATGCTAATCTTATGTAATTTCACCAACTCATTGTACCTTCTTGCAATTATAATAAGCTTCTTGTATATAAATAAATAAATAAATAAGCTGTTCACTTGAGACAGTTAATTAAGCAAGTCCCAGCCATGTCTGGGTACAAGGGTACAAGTGACAGGATGAACAACCCAGCGGGTTTTCTTCCTATTGGGGAGTGTTGTACATGCTGCTATGGCGGTATTTTCACTCACAGTTTGAATGGCGCTAAACAATACTATCACTATGGAGGTGTGTTCACTCACAGGGTAAGTGGCACTGCCCAATAAACTCGCCTCTTGGGGCAAAATCAAAATTAAATTCTCCGTACAATCAAACTCGCCACGGTCTTTTGAGTAATACACACACAAATCACAATGTGATATATCAAATGAACAAATCCACAAGGGTCATGACGAGGGATTTGTCTGAGTAAGTTGGTTAGAGAGTGGGGATGGGTGGGTAGTACTGTTGACAGTCCAGGATTCCCCACCGGCCTGGGACAGGCTTAACAGATCTAACAATGCAAACCAGACACGACAGAGTTGATATTGTCAAAACTTAAAACATTGAACAATTTGGAAGATATTGATCAAAACCACCACTTTAAAAGATCAGATGTAACAAACAAGGAACAATGATTTCAAGTGCATGAAGCCACAGTGTATGACAAAACAGCAGATGCTTTTTAACCCATAGGGTTACGAACCCATGGACCTGCAAACCTGCCGAAGCAGTAAATGTCAAAATACTGCTGCTTGATACCTGGTTGATGGGGTTCTGGGAGTTCTTCTACTGCCCAAGCCCGGCCCGAGGTCAGGCTTGACTTGTGAGAGCTTGGTCCACCAGGCTGTTGCTTGGAGCGGCCCGCAGGCCCACATACCCACCACAGCCCGGTTGGTCTGGAACTTCTTTTAGAAAACAGTCTAGTTTTCTCTTGATGTCCACAGTTGTTCCAGCAATATTTCTTATAGTCACCGGGAGGACGTTGAACAACCGCATACCTCTGATGATTATACAGTGTTCTCTGATTGTTCTCTATTTTGTGCATCTGCTCTGTGAATTCCTCAACCATTTTATCTGGTGGTTTATATATTAGAATAATAATTAGATTTATTTTTCTACCTTAATTCCAAGTACCTCTACCACCTTAGTTAAGTTTAGTAGCTCTGTGCATACCAGGAGCTTTAATATACATTCTTACTCCTCCATTTGACCTAGTTTCTATCACATCTATATAAATTATAATTTGGAATCCAGATTTCACTATCCATGTAATCTTTCATACGAGTTTCCGTGAACGACTCAAACATTGACTAATTGGAGGCCATTTATGAACTTAACTTTATTTCTTGATTTTGACTTTAGGCCTTGTATGTTTGCAAATATGAATGTTTGTCCATATTGCATCACTTCTGAAAGGTTTTGGTAGTTCTCCCTCCTCTCTACCCTGACCCAGGGTTGAAGCGGTTGCAGTTGAAGCTCTAGCTCAATAAAATTGTAAGGACAAATCGGGAACTATTGACTTCCAACTTCCTATCCTCATTGAGATAGGATACAGATGGTGGCCCTCTGAAAAATTCAGGTAAATTTTGGATGTTAAGTTATTGGAGGGATACAATCAACCTTTTCAGTACTGCAACGCTTGAGAATCATGCAAGTGCCCATTGTGAATGCAATTTCACACCCTGTGACATGTGCAGTGACTATTCCAGATGTATCAGAGGAAGAGAAAGATCCAATGGGAATATCAGAGGAAGGTCCAGGAATCATGTTTCTTCGACAAGGGTTTTTAGAACATATCCAAGGGGTCATTACCCCCTATATGGAAAAAACAACACGGCATTGCCTATTTAGTAGCCATGCAGAATTGAAGTATTTATAACCTTACTAACAAGTCCACATTATCAATGACCATATAATCTAGGTGAGGCAGGGATACTGCCTGGATCCTTCTCGCTTGCCAGCCAAGTGGCAGTTTCATAAACCTTATTGAGCTGCTCTTTGTATTAACAAAATGAATACTTTCTCAATAAGAGGAACATTCCAAAGGGGAAAAATATCTGAAACATAAATCATACAGTTACAAAAGTTTTAACACTGACACTGCTCCAATCGCAATCCGCTATTTCAACCTGTGTTCAAGTTGCTGCCATAGGCGATTCATCCTGAAGGGTTTAATCCTATTTTAAGGGCATGCCTGGATGTAGGACACTGGCAGCTTAATTGGTAAAAAGATTAACACTTTAGTCCGGGCATGACGCAGCATTGCGTCATCCGTTTACTGTCGGTAATCTCGGGGATGACGCGGCATTGCGTCATCCACTAAAATAATTGCCAAAAATCAGTTTTTTTTTTCGATTTTTGGGGGACTGTTTGGTAACTGTTAACAAGCTGAATGCAATCTGACTACAATACAAACATGACAGGTGTTTATCACTTTGACCAAATGATCAAATATTATCACTTCATAAGGAAAACTCACAAATGGACGAAGAAAATGACCATCTATTTTGTGCAAATGGCTATCTACAATGCTTGTGTGATGTACAACTACTACACAAAAAATACTAAACTATAATACTACATATACTAAAATACTAAATACTAAACATTTGTGGGCAGGAATTGGGAGTGTAGCTGGAAGGCGTCTGAGAGCTCACTTGCGGCTAACGCGTGGCCTGTCTTCAACTCGTCGGCGGGTGGAGCGTGACCAGGTTTTTTATTTTGTATGCTAATGTTCCTCTAGAGAATTCTATTGCGAACCCATTGATACCAAACCTAGGACAAAAATTGAGGTGACCAGAGTGAAAAGAGTGAACACATTTTATCGCTTTTCACGCTCCTGGGTAACTCGTTCGCACTTTCTCTGTTTGCTGCGGTTAATTAGCTGGGCTTTTGGAGTTTATATGCATTTAGTGCTGTAGAGAATTCTATTGCGAACACAATGATACCAAATTTAATCTCGTAGGACGAGAATTAAGGTGACAAAGTTGAAGAGAGTATACACTTTTCAGAATTAACGCGCACTCCCGTGAAAGGCTGGGACCCAAATCGCACAGTTGAGGGGTGGCGGGCGGGGCACGCCAAAGTGTTAACGTGTTCATGACAGTACAGTATTTAGGACAGTACAGTATTTAGAACAATACATTAAAATTCAGGAATAAACAAAACTGGAGTGTGCAGTCAATTATCTGAAATATGGGGTATCTAAAGAAGTGAAATCGAGCTTTGCTTTATTTCTAAATCCTACAGTAAGATCACATCAGGGCTTTAAACTTAATAGCTTGGTAGTAATATAGATGTAAAATAACATCACATCAGGACTTTGAACTTATTATAAACAATGCTGTAATACTCTTAAATCATTAAACCAAGACACATTAAGAATACGTGAGGGCAATAGTGGTCACTATCTGCAAAGAAAATAAAAAGAATAAATTGGAAGATTTTATTTTCACTACATCATTGGTGAAATTTGCAATTTTGTGTTTCTCGGAAAGAACTACTGCATGGCTGTCTCCCTTATTTGCAAAACAAAGTAAAGAGAGCCTCCGTTTGCTTTCCTTAAAGCACAAAATTTTCAACACCAGTCACCTAACCCTTATTACCTTGGCAGACTGACCTAATGAGCCCTAGCACTGTTACCACGTTGCACACTTGGTAGAAAAACAGGTATCACATGGCACCACATTGCATATGTAGACGTGTGTGTTCCTGCAAATGGTATGCAGAAACGGCCACAAACTGATTTATGTAGACAAATATTCTGGCCATGGTGTGTGCCTTCAGTTGCCATTATGGCACTTTAAGTAATAATATATCTGGGTAATATTGTCATCTTGCAGCAAGTCTGATATAGTTTAGTAATAGATCATTTAAGACTATATAATAACAAGGAGTATGACCATTAAAGAGTTCATCAGTTAACAAGAATTAACAATAATAGAAGCCGAGGACACAGTACATGGCCAGAGCAAAAATTGAAGGCATGTACGAGTTACATCACTCATCAGCGTAGCCGAGCACACGCCCCATGGTCCATTGATTTACAACGTTTTGCCATTGTCAACAAAACTGTACTGGCATAGTATATAAATTGAAAACATACATAAACAATCTTTGCGCTTTTTTCATTGTGCATGAAATAAATTAGTTACCTCGAACTTCTGATAGGGGCACAAGCTCTTTAGTTGAATTTTTAAATACATCATGCTCTTACCAAATATATTACACTATAGTGTGAGTGATAATATATATCCTGTATTTTCAGCTACATGGAAATTATGTACAACCAACTGCTGAGTGTCAAACAACCATTATCATTTAGGTAACATTCAGTGGGTTGTCATACTGCTCAGCATGGAACCAGGCATAGTGCACCTATTATAAATTCAAACATTCTCCAAGAAGGTTTTTCATTGTTGCACGTAAACATGGACGCCACAAGTAGTGACTAAACAAACAGGTTTTTTAAGGCAAAACTCCATAATGTTCTTATTGCTTATGGTTACACAGAGGCAATGAGAACACTGGGAGAATGACTCCTACTTGCCACCATAGTTCAGCTGCTTGGCTTGACTGCAGCAAAAAGGAGGATTGGATGGGGAAGGGGGGGGTATGGTAAGGTCTGTTCTGTGAGCTTGCACAGCTTGACTAGAAAATAAACACAACACGAACTGGCCAACAAGTGATTCATCTAGTGAATGGTATTGGCAATTTGAATTCCCATCAGGAAGGTGCCCTTGCAACCAGCAACCAAACACAAAAGCTGAAATGCACAAGGGCAATTAGGAGCAATATCTGCACAAAAGAAATTGTACCACCTTAGAGATCACTTGTATCATGGCAAGTCAGAAAGCTGTGGCAGTGTTTTAGTCGTTCGCAGTCGTTCGTCAGGTGTCGGTCGAGAGGAAGGAGGTTAGCTGCGGCATCACAGCTCGTGCATCTCGGAGCTAGATGTGATATCCACATCCTCAGACCAGCTGACATCCATGTTATTTCCCTCATTGTGAGGATTTACATTGTTATCATCAGAATCCGAGGATGGTGCAGAAGAAACGCGTCTTCGAGAAGGTCGTTTTCCTCGGCTGGGAAGTGGTTCAATAGTAAGGGGGTCACCAGTATATTGTTTTAATAGTTCATCAGTTATCATAGCTTCACCAGCACCTTCCTTTGGGCACCATGGTCCATTTTTCCGACCAAGAGGTTGATGGTTAGAAGAGCCCTGTTTACTATGTCGCTCACCATCACTACTGTCACTGTCAGAGTCTGTAGACGATTCTCCTTTTATAATGTCACACTGAGAAAGTTCAGAGTCACTTGCAGCCTCGGAGCTACTTGTGAGTCCAACTCCAGACAATTCCACAACTTCAATAAACTGATGGGTACCACTTGGAGTTTCTTCATACTCGTCCTCATCTGGGTCTTCCAGAAGATGATGTTCCATTCTGCTTCTTACTGGCGATCCATTTTGTCGCGAGGCATTTATTTTAGAAGGAGATTTCGGTGTGTGAACAGGCACAGTCCATGCCAAGCCAGTAGGAGATATTCTATCCATTTCACTGCCACCTTCACTGCTTTCTGATGTGGTTCGCCTAGATCCCGGCCGACTACCATGACCGTTAGTATCAAGGGATTTTCCATTTACAACGTTAGGCTTTTCATTTGACACTCTCGCTTTTCTATTTATTTCCTTCTGTTTCCCATTTATGTCCTTTGGCTTATCATCAATATGTAATCCATTTTTATTCATAGTGTTTGCTCTATTGTTATGAATGACTCTTCGTACATGTGTGGGAGTGCGTGGTCTGTCTACAGCACTCAAAGATGCTGTCCGTTGTGGCCGGGGTCTGGGTGATGGTGGTATATCTAAAAAATAATCATCAGACTGGGAGTCATTAAGATCTAGAATAAAGGAGACAGAATTTGACTTCTCCACCACAGCTTTCACACATGGTGATGGTGGGGGAGATTCAAAAGAAACCTCGTGAATTTTATCATCTCCGTCAATACCATCCACAGGAGTAAGACCAAGCCGGGACCTGCGCTTGTTTAAGTCACATTTGGAGGGCGATACTTTTCCTGATGGAGACCAAACGCCTACCCTGTGAACAAAAATTTCACCATATGAGTACATACCAAGTTAACTGGCACACTGTCAGAAATTAGTTACAAAAGTTATTTACCTGTTCAGTTGATCCTCTGGAAGGTCCACAAATTTGGGTGAAATACAGTATGGTACTAAAAAAAATTATAGCAGGTTTGGCATTTTCCTATCGTGAGGAAGACATTAGGACAGCAAACTAGCACACAAAAATAATGCTTTATATAAGTAAGCCATTGCCAAAGCATCAACATAATGAAATTGGTATTTTATCAATTATGAAGCCCTACTTTCTTTAAAAGTATTTAAAATTATAAACATTCGTAGAAAAATTAACGCTATCAAAACACGTTTGTGAGACTAATAAAAAAATACTGGACAAAGCTGTCATGCAATAATACTCGAAGGAAAAATAAACTGGAAACAGGTTACCAAAATCTATAGCTATCAAGAGAGGGAGGGGGGAAGGGGGGGGTTAAAAAAAACTTGGGTGCTTAGATTTCTGAAACAATAAATCAGCAATAAAGTTCACTAGATCAGAATTTATGCACAAGTTGAATAGTTGTGATCCAAATTTACATCACTCGGGAGCAAGGTTTTATTTTATTATTCAAAATTTGCTATTTATATAGAGTAATAAGTAATTAAACTTTTTTCTAGGAAAGTCAAATAATATAAGTTTCAGTAATAGCTGGAAAACATATCCAGTAACATATTATTAGTATTTATATGCAACTTTAAATAAATTAAAAATGGCTATTTTTGCATTTTCAGAAAGTAACTGATAACAGACGAGTTCTATTGAGCTGATTAGGGAGTTTTCTGCAACAATTTATCAAATTCTGTCAACTTTGTACTTAACAGGTTTACTACTGGATGGGTTCTCAAAGAGCAAGCAAACTAGACTTCTCTGATTTAGTGCAAACCACATTTTCTGGAAGAAAAATGCTATGAGAATCAAACATTACAAATGAGTAGCTTAAGGAGGGGAAAAGGTGTGCAGGTCCTCTAGCACTTAGGAGTGCAAGAATGCAAAGCAGTGGGTGGGGTGCTGGAATGCAAGGCAGTGGGTGATGGGGAGTGCAGGAACACGTACCTGGGTGATCGGGGGGCAGCCTGAGGGGAGGGCGCCCCCTCTTGGCGCCGTGGTGCTACTGAAGAGCGGCTCACGAGATCTGTAAAAGGTGACCCGAGCGTCAGGTGCAGGCCGGTGGTCAGACCAGTGGGGTACGGAAGCATGGAGTGGGAGGGCCGATGGTGCCTTAATAATCGGTACTATTATCCAAGCTAAAATTTTGAATGTCCAAAAACTGAAGGGCAAGAACCCTTAGCATACATTGTCAGATTTAGATTTATATAATGACATTTGTGTACTATAGGCAAAACATGTTCTTTTCATTATTATGAAACAATAAGCTGCATTAAGAGTTAATACTAAACTACTAGCACAAAACTCACTACATGACACTTTATTCATGCAAAGGCTGAATCACATTTCTGCAAGTTATTCATTATGCATGAGGGAAACTGAAGCATTCATCATTTAGCTTCCCTTTTTTTTGTCTTCAGTAACTGTATAGCAATCTGGTCTTACCATCGGCTTCTTGTGTGCATGTGCAGCATTCCACAGCATTATCCAAAGTGTTACTGCATTTTTAATATCTTAAACTAAAAACATTATAACCTTCATAATACTGTATATTGATATCCAGAATTGAATTATGCCAGCCACATTCTTCCAAAGTTAAAATAGAACCAATAAGACCTCCACCAGAATATTGTGCTTTGGATAAGACTTCATGCAATATAAGAACCTGTGGAGGCAAGCACATGCAGCCCAAGCCCAGCAAGTGAAGGCAAATCACTCGGCTCACCAAGATAAAATTTATATTAAAGGGAAAACTTAATAGCTAAGAGATTTAACACAAAAACTACTCCCATTTTAGTACAGTATTTGATCAAAACTAGTAACATGTAAAAATGGAGATCGGTGTACAAACATGGATCTACCTCGTCTATGCCCTCCGAAAAGACATCTGAAGCCTTGTAAAGAGGTTATGTCTTTAAACATAGTGCTGACATAAGTATTGAGCATAGTTATTATTATTATTATTATTATTATTATTATTGTGAGGGGAAAAAATTCTGAATAACCTTAATTTCATTCCCAAGTATTGACACTTATTTCTACATCTATGCCCTCTAGAAACATGTCTAGCCATATGGAATGTTTCAACTTTGCCTGCTTAACAGCAGGCGGATCATGCAATATTTGTAAGAATTTAAAAACTGCCTGTCAATTCATTAGTATTAAAACATCCAACATCTATGCTCAACATATTGAATGAATGTTGCAAATTAGTGAAATGCTATGGTAACAAAATATTTACTTTCAACAAAAATATATAATCAAGAAAGGTAGGTTGGGAAGCATGAGACGGCAGTTAAAGTAAGTTAATAGCAGCAGCAGCAACACTACTATAGTTCAGAACACAGTGGAGCTCGAGATAGGCAAACTCTCACAACACGCTACATATGATGTAAGAGAAAAGTCCCAGCAAACACAAATTTTTGTTTTCACCAAGTCTAGATGGATCTATCAATGACGTTACTAACTGCAAACAATTTTACACAAGTAACACAATTTCTGCTTGCTATGCATCTGGCACATTGCCAAGATAAACAGCATATAATCTGCCATGTTTTATCCACTTTAACATAGTAAGTATTCACTATGAAGAATATTTTAAGCCCTGTATATCATGGGACCAAACCTGAACCCCTTGAGCAGAAGCAGGTTTGGTCTCATCATGAGTGAGTGATCCATCAAGCAGATTTGATCCCATCTTGTGGCTTCAACATTTTCTCATATACTGTATCCTATACTTGTGGTTTTACAGTATTCTGTATATTAAATCTTCAAGCAAGCAGTAGCAATTCTGACCTAAATAATACAATAAATTGAGAAATTTCAATTTCCTCCTGAGAATCAATTTATTACTATACTATTAAATTAAAGTGTTAATTCCGAATGATATTAAAATAGTTGTTCACGAACCAGGTCTAAAATACCCCAGTGATGGATCAAATATCGGTCCTCAAACACTCAACTAACCTGATCCTCAATCAATACTTACATTCTTTTCACAAAGTAAAAAGTCCTAAAATATTTTGGGCATACAAGCAATGTAGTCATTAGAACAATACAGTAGATAGTGATCTTTAAAAATATAATAATGTATTAGGATAGGTATATTCTAGCAAAGCCAATAATATCCATCACATTTCAGGTAAATCTTTAGTTAAAGAAAATGTTTGAGGTATACAGTACTTACAGTGATTACAAAGTTTATAAAAGTTGCCAATCGTAACCCGTAAACTTTGAGGTGTGAAACAAGTTTTATAAGAGTGTAAGTGGACTATCTGGGTATAGTCTTTTTTCACTATTTGCCCTCATTCACCCACCAATGCTTGAGTACCTGGTTTTAACAAGATTGGGGAATCAGGTCGGAATAAGTAGGGCAAGCCTCAAAACGAGCCGTAGGAAGGGAAAAGCTCTACAGCTGCCAATAAGAGTCTGAAGTTATCTTGCGCCTGTATCATCTGTTGCATAAAAAAATAAGATCTCTGCCATCAATAGATGGCTGTGAAGTTTAGATAAGCTGCTGAAAAGAAGCACATAGCCCTTTGTCTAAATATGAAGATTATGACTTACTGTACAGTACTTAAGATGAACTAAACTGTTTATACCAATATGAAATTAGTAAATACTGTAGTAATAATATACAGTACTAATTTCTAATATGAGAAAAAGAGCCTAGATATACAATACACAATAATTCCTATCTAATAGCAAGTGTAAGAGTGTGCATGAATTGAGGATAAAAACCCACACTTGTGTATTTGTGAAATTTAGGTAAAAAAATTACACCAAGTCTTTCGTACTCTTCTGACAGCTTTCCCAATATCCGAGTGTGTGGTTAGGACGAGACTTGCATCTCGACGTCTAATGAACTCGACGTCTAATGAACTCGACGTTGAGATGTATGTCTCGTGCAATTTTATGACGAGTCATATGGAGGTTGGGGTCGGCCCCTATGTCTTCTTCCTTGAAGGGAAGAGTAAGTTTTCTATCCCTTCATCTTGAAGGAAATCAGCCACTACACTTCCTTCAAATAAGTTGAATATGAAACGTGTAACCATTTTTTTTTTTTTTTTAAATGGCTAGTGATGTAGTAAGACAGGAAAGGTGTGCGAGGTAGAGCGATGGGATAGGTCGTGTGCGTGTGTGAAGATTAGGAGGGTCTATGTGGTTAGAGACTGGGGGATGTGCGTGTGAACAGATTGGACAAGTGTGTGTGAGGGTGTTGGGAAGGTTGTACGAGTCGGAATACAGCGTGAGGGAGTTAGGGGAGACTGTATGTGTCAGTGTGTGTGTGTGTGTTTGGGAGAGACAGGGAGGGAGTGCATGGAGGAAGACTCGGATGTGTAGAAAAGGTCTGGGCACAAGGTCAACCTGGGCACAGCTGGGGACCCCATGTAGTGCCTTTACAAGATTTAACTCAATAACAAAGCAACATACCGAGAGTTGAAGAAGGCATGGAGGTAGACATAATCTCTTCTCGTTGTCGGAGTTTCCATGCCAGTTCCTCATTTTCCAAGCTGAGTCGCTTGTTAGCATTGGATTCTCTCTGGTAAGTTTCAACTAAAAGTCTGTGTTCATTCACAAGTTGCCTGCATAAGACAAAATTACAATATCAATGCTGTACAACAAAACCATTTTTGCAAACAAGAAAATTCAATTAAAAAATGTTCATTCAAAAGTAATCTTAAGAAAATGTTCGAGATTAAACTAAGGTGGACAACAAGAAGCAAAGTAGTACAAGTGTGCTCTGAAGTAACTAGTATTAAAATTGGAAACCATTTTATATAGAACCAAATGAACTGATAAATCTTCCTGTAAAGGACATTTCAATACAAATTAAAACTATAGGTGTTTGTTACATTTGCTTTTTATTTGTTTAGATTCATAAAGAGCGGTAAGGTGGAGCGATTTCAACTGTAGGGAAAAAATATGGGAAGAGATGCTAGAAATAGCAATAAGCTTTATATATATTTGGGAACAGTTAAAAAAAAAATGTAGTTTTTTATATTAACATTATACATTCACACAACACCCCACAACAGTAGGGGTGTGTGGGTGGATGGGACGTGTGTGCGTGTGTTCATCAGACACGCACATCATCTTTGTAATAATAATGTTTATTCAGGTAAAAGTACACACATTCAAAATGAGTTACAAACGATGTTGGATTTCAGGATGAATAACCAATTTTGCAACAGTTAAACATACTTTTGCATTAAATGCTACTTTAGTGTATACTGTGTCTAGTAAAATATGTACAAATCAATTAATATAACTAAATTACCGTGATCACAATAGTTTAATTTCTAATTTGGACAATCATAATGAATATTCGATACTCATTTTAAAATTTCAATTATAGTGTGTTTACAAAATATTTCTATCAAACCTTTCTTGTAGCCCTTTCTTCTCCATCTGAGCTTGGAGGTCCTCAGTCTTGGCTTGGAGGGCTCTGGCCCTGTCTCGAGCAACTTCCAGGTCACTTGCCAATCTATCCATCTCGATCACTTGCCCACGAAGGTCGTGAATTTCAGCATTCTTCATTTCCACCACTGTCTTGAGCGAGTCCACCTGAGAATATGTACAAGAAACTGAATACAGTACAATATTTCCAGTACATAGAGTAAAATTATATCTCCAGTTAACATGACACATGATAAATACAGTCATTCACACATTATACAACCCTCACTGTGCCCAATAAACCATTTCACTCGTGTAATGTTTAAGGTATGGATAAAACTTAGAAAGATTTAACTAGCATGAAATGTTCTTTCTACAGTTGACCACCAGTAGTGTGGTCAGAGTGCAAGGTGTACGATCCATCAATTTTTTTGTTTATTTTTAAGATAGTGTTACTGAATCTTATAAGCACATAATTTCCAAAATATTTAATTTATATGCACCACCAATACAGTACCTTGCACATAATGGCAAGGACAGGAAGCCGGTGGCTTGTCAAAGGTTTCCCCCCCCCCCCACCCCATTTGTCTTTTTTCAAAGTAGATTTTAAAGCTCGGTAAAGTTTGAGCATTAACGGCTTTGGCGGGTAGGCAGTTCCAAGGGTTTATAACCCTGTGAGTGAAAAAGCATCTGTTTTCAGTCCTACATTGTGGCTTGTTGCACTTGAAACCATTACTCCTTGTTTGTGTTACATCTGACCTTTTGAAGACATTTTCCAGATCAACATCCTCCAAATTGTTCAGTATTTTAAAAGTTTCAATCCACCTTGTCATGCCTGGTTTACAGTGACAGGGACCCTCAACCATTCCTGATATGTGAGTTGACTTGGCTCTGGAATGATATGCATTGCCTGGTGTTGAACTTTCTCCAGAGCAGCTGTATCCTTCTGAAGATGAGGTCTCCATGTTTGGATACAGAAATACAAATGGGGGCATACCAGAGATTTAGATAACTGAATCACTACCTTCTAATTCTTGAAGTCATAGGTACGCTTGATTATTCCAAAGGTTTCTTGAGGTTATCTTGAGATGATTTCGGGGCCTTTTTAGTGTCCCCGCGGCCCGGTCCTCGACTAGGCCTCCACCCCCAGCAAGCAGCCCGTGACAGCTGACCAACACCCAGGTACCGAATTTACTGCTAGGTAACAGGGGCATAGGGTGAAAGAAACTCTGCCCATTGTTTCTCGCCAGCGCCTGGGATCGAACCCAGGACCACAGGATCACAAGTCCAGCGTGCTGTCCGCTCGGCCAACCGGCTCCCATAAAGGTTTGGTCAGCTTTTTTGACTGCTGCTCATACCTGTTGTGCAACTTTAATCGAGTAATGGATTTTGACTCCAAGGTTCTTTTCTTCATCAATCTGTTGTAATGTTATTAATTTGGTACTTGTGGTGTAAGTGGTTATGCCCCACATGAAGGGTCTTGCATTTGTCAATATTAAAAAGCATTTATCAGTCATCTGACCATTTGTGGAGTGCCTGTAGATCACTTTGTAAGACTTCAACATCATTATCATTTCCCACTTTACCATAAATGTTAGTGTCATCTGCAAATTTGATGATGTGGTTTGTAATATTCTCATCTATCATTGATGTATTTGACTAAAAGGGTTAGCCCCAAAATGGACCTCTGTGGTATCCCACTTGCTACATTTCTTTAATCAGATATTTCCCATTTAGTGCCAATTTTTTTATTATTATTATTGTTGCACACTAACAGTCCATTTCAAGCTGCGGAACTTGCTGACCTGAAGAACATACATAAAATATTCACTGCCCAAATCCACTAAATTAAACATCTAAATTATTGGGACCACTTAACATTTCTAACTGTTCTAAAGAACAGGGGCGAGATACATAATTGACACACTAAAAATATTGGAGGGATATTCTAAATCTGCACACTGAACAATTCCTTAAAGAGACCAGGAGACAATGTAGAATGTGCAAAACAGCCCAATTGAAAAATAGGGGTTCCTTCCTCAGCTTAAACTCGGTTATAAGTATCTCTGGAATTTGCATTACCTCTTCCTGTAGGTAGTAAATGTGGGCGATTGTAATCTTTCCACTGCTGTCCACTGGACGAGTTGTAGTGTACACGATATCCAAATAAAATTACGTTACTCGCTCACTGCATATGCAAGTTGCTCATAATATACCTTAAGCTGTTATACCCGCTAACTTAATTTATCAAAACTAACTTGCATAGCCAAATAAATTTTGGGGTGCAGTCCTTGAGTCCATTATGTGCCTCAAACCTTTTCCACTACCACCTAGGATGGGTATAGGATGCATAATAAATGAACTAAATTCTCTCAAAACAAAGGACATAATTAGCCAACTTACTTTGGAGTTCAAGAGGGAACTTTATGAACACGATACAACCAGACCATCAGGCCTGGTCAGACTAGATTGCAGGGACAATGATCCTCAGAGCAAGTTCAGGGCAAGGTAAGACTATGTTACGAGAAAAAAATACTAATTGGGTCAAATAGATGGTGAAAAAAAAAATCAGGAGTACTGATATATAGTATCACAATGACTTACCTCACTCTTGAGAGATGAGCACATATTTCGTACAGCCTGAAGTCTGTGATCAGTATCATTAAGTAGGGTTTCCTCTAGTTTCTTCGACTCGATCTTTAGAGCTTCTTTGTCTTGAATCAGGCGGAAGTTCGCCTCTTCTAATTCACGTTCACGAGCTCGGCGAGATGTTTCTAACTCGCGCAACTGAAAAAAATATTCGTTCATTTAACAATTGCCGTAATTAAAACGAAGATAAAATTTATCAATTCATCAACATTGTTATCTATTTTAAGACTAACATTAATCAAATTTTAACACTTAAATAATTTAATTTCATGATTACTACATTTCATCCAACTTCCACAGTTCCCCTAAACACGTTTAAAATGTTTCGGAATGTTCAGCTTCCCCCCCTCCTTTTTCCCCCCCTCATTGTACCTTGTGTGTGTGCTGGGTATTTAGTTCTTGAACAGCACACAGATGTTTCTCATGCTGAAGATCTAGCTTATTGCGCCACTCTCCCTCCAGCTGCTCTACCTCGGCAGAATGGGCCCTGCTCAGTGCCTCACGCTGCAAAAATTCACAATGTCGAGCAATAAGAAAATAATAACCAATATCTGCAATGAATTATACTGTGGAAATGTTATAGAACCAATTGTAACAGTCCTTTAAAGTACTGAATGTTCACTAAAAACAATGCTTTCTTACTTACGTTAATGTCAAAATAATACTTGGCCAATAACGCTACATGATTCAATGTCCTTTATGTTACTTACACACTGTTCTGTACTGGAATTCATATCCAACAATGACAAAAAGGGTTGGACCTGAAATGGACCCCCCCCCTCCTGTAATACCCCACTTCTTAAGCTATTTTCTACCATGTTCCCCCCTTTTTTTTTATCTTTTAATATTTTTTTTCATTCAACACAATTTATACTTTAAGCTCAATTACTATTAAGTTTTAGTCTAAGTGTTTTTCCCCACCTCTCCTTGCCCAAAACGCTATGCGTACTAGTGGCTTTAGGTATTGTATGTACTACCTCTTTCTTTAAATCTAACAGAATGTTTGTACTGTAACTCTGCAACTATGTATGTACTGTTCCTAAATAAATTATTATTATTATTATTATTATTATTATTATTATTATTATTATTATTATTATTATCATTAAACAAGTAAAAACGAGTATCAACTCTTAACTACCATAAACTATCCATCCTATTTCAAAATCACAGGACTGTATCAATAGTAACATTTTAAATATGCATAACTTTTCATTTAATATATTGTACTAATTTAAATAATTAATGCATACGATACCTGGTTCTGCTGATCTTCAGTAAATTGGGACAATTCTTTCCTGTGTTTCTCCAGGGCTGAGGAAAAATATAGAATTTCTTATAATCACACAAAATGGTATGCAATATATTTGACAACATTGTACAACATTGTGTTATTAATGCTTTAAAGAAACGAATAAGTGAAAGACAGAACAAGGGAGGACTGTTTACACTTTAGTTGTTATGGGTTGAAGCTCCTTCCGATACTCCCACAACACCCGCAAGCACAACTAATTGAATTGAATTAAATTGAACACACACACACACACACACACACACACACACACACACACACCTATCACCTGAGGACCACATAAAGAACGTTGTGCGAGTAGCCTATGCTATACTTTCTAACTTCAGAATTGCTTTTGACTCCAAAGTCCTTTTCTTCAGCAATCAGCTGTAATGTTATTAATTTGATAGTTGTGGTGTGCGTTGCTATGACGCACACCACAACTTGCATATGTATTTGTCAATATTAAAAACCATTTGCCAGTCTTCTAATAGGAAGACCCTACCCTCCATTATTTTCCCCTTCATCTATTTTCACTGAACACTATCTTCATCAATAAACTAGGAGAGAAAATAACATTGAAATCTTTTAGAAAATAATATGCTAGATGAATCTTATTGAGGATGGAATGTGGTATTCAGTGCAATTTGCCATTTCGTGCAAAAATGGAGTGGCTCGGCGAGTTTTGACCCCGACCCGTCTATGACCATCCCGGTCATAGACGGACAGAGAATAGTGTATCTGGATACCAATTTAAAAATAAGGACACACACACTTTTATATAGATTAGCTGAAAAGGCAAAGTGAGAGGACTTACTGCTTAATTGCTTTGAAATACATTAAAGCCCATCAAAGGTGTTTGGTGTTGGGAAAGGAGGAACAATGGAAAATAGGATTAAAGCCTCTATAACAAAGACAAACTCTGATATTAATGTGATGCACAAAAGAAAAGCCCAAACAAAAAATGTATAAAAATATAAAGTTGTGTGTATTAACACTGTATTTACACACAATTAATACAAGTTTATGATAATAACTGACCCAAGTATATTTCATGTTGGTGTTGCTTGGCAAGTTGATCAAGGGAGTGATGATGTTGGTGCTCCAGCAGCTGCACCTTCTGGATGTGTTCTTCTGCACTTTTCACCTCGGCTTCCTGCAGTCGCCGAACTGCTGCACTACTTTCATCTGCAAATAGTAAGATACATTTTAATAAATATAGTGAAGGCATTATGTTGAAACACTGGAACTCTTCAATTTTAGTGTTTTAACATTGCGAAATTTATGTATTAAGCCAATTACACGAGTAAATTCTCTGAAGTTGTAGTTCATAGTTCAGCTAATACAGTAGTTCCTTGACAACTCTGGAGTGAATTCCACCCACACCTGGCACTTCTCAATCTTTCCGTTTGTCAATACTTTTCCTGATTATACCACATTCTTACAGGGATATTCCTTAATTCATTCTCCTCACCTGTTTTAAATATTTGTGTGGGTATTGGAATGTCTAAAACTCTGGCGCGACCACTGATGTAAAGTCATTCAGAGTATTAGCTGCCCTTGTATTGCCAATTATAACTTAGGTGGTCTCATCTTTCTGGGGTCCTAACAAGCCCTTTGCTTTGGTTTTACAGTACTAGTACTTTTTATATAGGCAGAGAGATAGACTTTGGATTTTCCTTTACACAGTATTTTGAACAAGTTTTCTTTCATAATTTCTTTTGGCTAATCCGATTTCCTGGGTGGCTGAATTTTAAGGCCCTTTTGAATATCTCAATCTATGTTGTTTTTTTGTGGATTGATACAGACTCCAGGTTATTAGAGCTTTTTACTACCTGTGTCATCCATCTAGTTTTCTATCTCTTTCTTGACATTTTTTTTTTAACAAGTGATGAGATTCTTGAGGTTTTTCCCAAGATACATTCGTACTTTGATCCTATATATATATACAAGAGTTGTTACATTCTTGTACAGCCACTAGTACGCGTAGCATTTCGGGCAAGTCCTTAATCCTATGGTCCCTGGAATACGATCCCCTGCCGCGAAGAATCGTTTTTTTCATCCAAGTACACATTTTACTGTTGCGTTAAACAGAGGCTACAGTTAAGGAATTGTGCCCAGTAAATCCTTCCCGGCCAGGATACGAACCCATGACATAGCGCTCGCGGAACGCCAGGCGAGTGTCTTACCACTACACCACGGAGACTTCTCTCTCATTCCTGATAGTTTGAAGGGTAGTCTAGATAGTAGTCATCCAGGACCCTTACAAGGGTTATAATTGTAGTCCATCTTAGAAATCTGATCGATTTCCATCCATCTTAGATTTCCTAAGATCCATCTTAGAAAAAGGAGCGAGCTTCTTCCCTACCTGTATTTGATCAATCCTACACTCTTCTCATATTAGCACAAGATCTAGAATGCTGTTCCCTCAGGTAGGCTGTCACATGCTATATGAGAAAGGAGTCTTTTTGCCAGGTCAAGAAATTCTCCTCCTTCCACCTGTGATGGTAAATTCATCCAATGTATTGTCTTGTGATTCAAGCCGCTCATTACAAGGGCTTGAGCTTCCACTGTTCCGTTGATCACATTATGCACATCAGTAACTATTGCTGCTGCTGCTTGCCCTGTAGCATACTACCAATGTCAGTTTGCTACCATTTTCAGCTAGTACTGTATATGGTACTATACATTTATTTATTTATATATATACAAGAAGGTACAATGGGTTTATGAGAGTACATAACATTGTTTTAACATTTTTGTAAAGCCACTAGCACGCATAGCGTTTCGGTGTAAACATTTCCACATCGGTGTGTGTGTACAGTGCATCAAATTTATTTACTAAGCTTCTTGCATTTGTGTAGAAGCAATTTAAACTTCTGGCCTTTTTCCTAGGGGGCTGGAGGACTGCTCGAGCATTTTGCACCCTATTACTCCATACATTGACACTTTGGTTTTATGCCTGTCTTCAGAGATATACAAGGTTAGTTCTGCTTGGTTCAGTGAAGGACTACATCCAATCCTCCAATCATGACCACCTGCCCTCTCCTTATTCCTTAGCTTGGAGATTTTTTTGTAATGGTCCGTTTCTTTAATCTTTTAGTTTGTCTCTTAGTACTTTGACTTTTCTTTTTAACTGATCCTCTGTAAGGTTTGTGAAGTAAAATTGGTTATATCCTCATAAATCTTTTAGTTTATGTGCATTACCGAGTATCATCCTTGTTCAAAATTTGTAATGGTTGTGTGTACTAAATTTGTCTCTGCCTTAACTTAACCTCCCTACCTGGGAAATGGTTAGATGATCCTCTTTGCCTATCAATTTTTTTTATATAATTTCTGCAATGATTTGCAGAAAATATAATTTCATTATATCATTTCTGCAAAGAGAACAAAAAATGTTCTGTTTTGTACAGAACAAAAAATCACCTCATTATAAGGAATTTTGCAAAGGAAGAGGATTAGAATTATCCTCTTGTTGACCAATCCACACACTAGAAAATGAAAATGAAGGGAAGTCGTCCCTTTATTCTCTAGTATGTGGATTGGTCAACATACTTCAGCCATGTTATTGTGACTCATCGCCTGCATATGAATTATCCTCTTCCTTTGCAAAATTCCTTATAATGAGGTGGTGTTTTTTTTCCCAAAGCCTCTGACATTCTCCAGAGCTACTACTGTGTCTGTCAGCAAAGGAAAGGAGAGGCAACCGAGAGAAAGTTAATTTATTATGTGTATGAAAACAGAAAATATGAACATTTGAGATAGGGGAGGATAGTGTTCTATCAGAACTGTTCTACTACTAAATATAATTTTATGCAGCACTGCATAAAATTATTTTTAGTAGTAGAACAGTTCTGATCAGAAAAAAAGTGCCTAAATTGTAAATTGGAGCCTAAGGAAATAAATTAAATATTCGGGTGAATGAGCGAGAACTAATACATAATAGATATGTTAACGATAAGAATATAAAAACTGTAGAAAGGAGGAGATAGTGTACTGCATAGTTCAATGTCAGAAGCTGGAGATGAAAAGGAATGCACGAGGAAATTTTAGTACAGAAAGTTGTATCACGTAATGTGAGCCAGAAGATGAAACATGAAATGAAACTCCATTACCTAATATATATTTATATCATTGTTAATTTTCAAAACAAAAATAATGCATGTACTAAAAAAATTAATGGAAAAAAAATTATGAAACAACTGAGGAGGAACTTGACTTTATAGCAAATATGCACAACCAATAATGCATGGGAGAAAGAATGAGAGATGCACAAGATGAAAATGACACAGGGGAAAGCATGCAGGAAAGCTAACAAAACTGCTGCACACTTGGAGGTACGGACCTAGGCTGAGGCGGGTCTCTGTAAGAAGAGTGCTCAGTCTGACCACTTCTGCCTTCAGTCGCGGGGTGGCGAATGGATCGTACTGTGGAGAAAGAGAGAGAGAGAAAGCATTACAATTTTTGTCTAGCCAAGATAAAGTAATAATATGGAGAAAGCACTAAGCCAGTTTATGACCACATAGCAGCCCCATGCTGGCTATTCACCACTTGGGACAAAGTCAGAATTGATTATTGCTATAATCAAGCAATTTGCTAATTCTAAGTTTTTGTTCCAAGTGGTGAATTGATTGCGTTAACAATTTATGGCATGTTCACTGCCTTAAGTGAACAAACCATAACATTGGTATACAGCACTGTATTTCAGTGCAATTACGTGATGTGCCAGTTGAGCTCTCCCTCAATTCTCTCCCTGACTGAAATATCAAGGAAAAACTACAGTACAGTATTTAAAAATTCTTACTCTTGGCCATATGAATCAACTCTTGCATGTGTAATGCTACTCAAATCAAATATTGTTCATTAACATCAGCAGTGATAATCTATATAGGCAGTAAAAACTTGATTCAATGCAAGGAGTAACTTCAGGATACCCCGATGGTTCCTGAATCAAAATCAGTGCAATACTCGAGAGAGAATAATGCCACTCCACGGTGTGGCCAATATAATGATGGAATTATCAAGGGAAAGCGCCAAGACAATATAATGAATTATGTATTGGAATTTTGTGAGAATACTGGTAAATGTAAATATGATCAAGGAAACAAAGCCCTGTAAAATATAATACTTTATAAGGCACGTATAAGTCTTACGTGGTCAAGACAAAAATGTATATTGAGAGGTTAATATTTTTCAACATACATTTCATCTGATATACATCAGTAATACAGGTATTTATATATAAATAATGCAACATTTACCTGGTAAATACTGTATGATCTTTGATCATAAAATCATAGTCGTGTATGTATTTTAAAGAAATACAGGAAACTGTAGGCTTTAGCCGAGATCAAGCCCCCATGCCCCCTGGGGGCCAATCCCCCCGGGGGTCTACCCCCCCATGTCCCAGGGGTCCTCCACCCCCCCCACCACCCCGTCCCCCGGGGTCCATCCCCTCCCACGCCCCTAGGGGCCATCCCCTCCCACACCCCCGGGAGCCCATCCCCTCCCACGCCCCCGGGGGCCATCGTAAGGGTCCCTCATTCGCTAAACCACTTCCACCATGACAACAGACAGGAGAAGGTACCGTGTCACAGCAAGACGAAAGGACTCGTCTCAAGGTTGACTTGCACCCCATGCCGTCTATCCTTGAGCCAGACAAGCTTTACACAAGCTTTTGTGACCATCTCCCACCCCACACTTCACACAAAGGTCTCCAATGGAGGGAGAATAAAGAGAGGCATGCCTCGTCGAGCATGTTTCAGTGTAGCTGTAGAGAGACATGGTAACAGGGCTAAACACTGACAGTTCTCCTAATACTGTTTAAGACACCAGAAATGGTCGCTGGGTGGACAACAGCATCTTAGGGGACTCAAGCAGGTAATGTTTAACATCTTAAGTGTCTGGTGCACCTCTCTCTGGTCATGGCAACAAATGTGAATGGCATATCAGTCAATGGTTTCCTTGTAAGGTTGGGGAGGGGGGGTGTGCACCACCGTCCTCACTGCCACCAGTGCACACCCCCATTGGCACACCTGCCACCAGTGCACACACCTCTGGCACACCTGCCACCAGTGCACACACCCCACTTCTGCCACACCTGCCACCAGTGCACACCCCACGTCTTGCACACCTGCCGTATCCATAAATAAAAACTCTGGTAAACCATTTCTAAACAAAATCAATGATGTTTACATTTCCAATTTGTCGACGAAAGTTTCTTGAGGATTTACCAAAAGATCCCACAAAGAAGGTCGTCGTGATAAATATAAACAATTGAGGATCTAGAGGTTATCTTGAGATGATTTCGGGGCTTTAGTGTCCCCGCGGCCCGGTCCTCGACCAGGCCTCCGCCCCCTAGGAAGCAGCCCGTGACAGCTGACTAACACCCAGGTACCTATTTTACTGCTAGGTAACAGGAGCATAGGGTAAAAGAAACTCTGTCCATTGTTTCTCGCCGGCGCCCGGGATCGGCCCCGGGTCCACAGGATCACAAGTCCAGCGTGCTGTCCGCTCGGCCGACCGGCTCCATAATAAATTTATTACAACATTACAAGAGCTCTTTCAGACAAAAATAATCTAAAGGAGGAAATGGAAAACGATTGAGAGGGCATAGCGGTGGTGTCGAAGGCTTTCTTGTCCCCGTGGAGTCGCGTTACCAAACCTGCTCCCAGTGATATGGAAGGATAAGGCCCTGCTCCTCCCCCCTCTCACCTTTCCCCAACCACTACAGGACAATTGATCCGCTGGCGGCCTGCTAACTCCTGTCACAGGAGGGACAGAACACCCCCCCTGTCATTTTGAGTGTTGCCGCCGGAGGTGGCTAGTTTATTGTGCACCCTGTACTTATCCTGTGAGCGGTAGCGCAAAAAAGATGACAGAGGGCACAAAAAACTATCAGATTTCAACGGAGATTATTACATTAATTACATCTACCGTTCACACCTTATGCTGTCAGCTAGTAAGAAATTGTTCCACTTCAATAGCTATGTATTTACAGTTTATCACTGTACATGTATGGTAGGTCTTTTATGCTAATACGTAATGGTTTTGGCTATAGAAATATAGGTATTACAGTGATGACAAGACCACACACTAGAATGTGAAGGGACGACGACGTTTCGGTCCGTCCTGGACCATTCTCAAGTCGACTTGAGAATGGTCCAGGACGGACCGAAACGTCGTCGTCCCTTCACATTCTAGTGTGTGGTCCTGTCATCATACAGGTCCTGTCCTGTCACGTTATTGTGACTCATCGCCTACATAGGTATTACAGGGTCATGTGAGAGCTGCTGTCACAAGGAATTATATCTGGAGTGGGTTCTGAGAGTTCTACTCCAAGGATTGACTTTTGGTAACTTGGTCCACCAGGCTGTTGCTTGGAGCGGCCGCAAGCCCACATACCAACTATAACCCGGTTGGTTCTGTACTTCTTGAAGGAAGTTGTCTAATTGTTTCTTGAATACCTCCACCGGTGTTCAGGAAATACTTCTTATACTCGCTGGGAGGATATTGAACAACCTCTGATGTTCAGACAGTGTTCTCTGATTGTGTCTATGGCACCTCTACTCCTCACTGGACCTCTGATGTCCAGACAGTGTTCTCTGATTGTGCCTATGGCACCTCTACTCCTCACTGGACCTCTGATGTCCAGACTGTGTTCTCTGATTGTGTCTATGGCACCTCTACTCCTCACTGGACCTCTGATGTTCAGACAGTGTTCTCTGTGTCTATGGCACCTCTACTCCTCACTGGACCTCTGGTGTTCAGACAGTGTTCTCTGATTGTGTCTATGGCACCTCTACTCCTCACTGGACCTCTGATGTTCAGACAGTGTTCTCTGTGTCTATGGCACCTCTACTCCTCACTGGACCTCTGGTGTTCAGACAGTGTTCTCTGATTGTGTCTATGGCACCTCTACTCCTCACTGGACCTCTGATGTTCAGACAGTGTTCTCTGATTGTGCCTATGGCACCTCTACTCCTCACTGGACCTCTGGTGTTCAGACAGTGTTCTCTGAGTGTGTCTATGGCACCTCTACTCCTCACTGGACCTCTGATGTTCAGACAGTGTTCTCTGATTGTGTCTATGGCACCTCTACTCCTCACTGGACCTCTGGTGTTCAGACAGTGTTCTCTGATTGTGTCTATGGCACCTCTACTCCTCACTGGACCTCTGATGTTCAGACAGTGTTCTCTGATTGTGTCTATGGCACCTCTACTCCTCACTGGACCTCTGATGTCCAGACAGTGTTCTCTGATTGTGTCTATGGCACCTCTACTCCTCACTGGACCTCTGATGTCCAGACAGTGTTCTCTGATTGTGCCTATGGCACCTCTACTCCTCACTGGACCTCTGATGTTCAGACAGTGTTCTCTGATTGTGTCTATGGCACCTCTACTCCTCACTGGACCTCTGATGTTCAGACAGTGTTCTCTGATTGTGTCTATGGCACCTCTACTCCTCACTGGACCTCTGATGTTCAGACAGTGTTCTCTGATTGTGCCTATGGCACCTCTACTCCTCACTGGACCTCTGATGTTCAGACAGTGTTCTCTGATTGCGTCTATGGCATCTCTACTCTTCAATGGTTCTATCTTTTTTTTTTTTTTTTTTTTTTTTTTTTTTTGAGATATATACAAGAGTTGTTACATTCTTGTACAGCCACTAGTACGCGTAGCGTTTCGGGCAAGTCCTTAATCCTATGGTCCCTGGAATACGATCCCCTGCCGCGAAGAATCGTTTTTTTCATCCAAGTACACATTTTACTGTTGCGTTAAACAGAGGCTACAGTTAAGGATTTGCGCCCAGTAAATCCTCCCCGGCCAGGATACGAACCCATGACATAGCGCTCGCGGAACGCCAGGCGAGTGTCTTACCACTACACCACGGAGACTGCCGCATTTCATACCCTACCATTCGCTCCAGTATGTTGTACTGTATTACTGGTCAAATTCCGGACCTGGCCTTTCAGTATTTTCCATGGAAAGGTTACGGGATATTAGTTACAGCCCCGCTCCTGTGGCAGGTAAGTCCACTACGGGCTCACCATAGCCCGTGCTGCTTGCCCCGCTCCTGTGGCAGGTAAGTCCACTACGGGCTCACCATAGCCCGTGCTACTTGCACCGCTCCTGTGCCAGGTGAGCCACTACGGGCTCACCATAGCTTAAAACGGTGCCAATAATTTAGGTGCCTTATCGTGTTTCTGCATGACTATATGACCCATAGATCATATACGTTCAAGTATGTTTATTAAGACAAGAAAGAACTACATCTCAAAGGGATAGAGTAGCTTAGGCTATTTCTAACCCCCACCATATACGTCATATAGTCTAGAAGTTTAATCTCCTCTATTTCAAAAATCTTTCTTGCTCTGAAAGGGAATACGAATTTGGCGAAATATTGAAGGTGGGAAAAGCAATGTGGT